GAGTAGTTGACACAAAAGAGCAAGAATTAGAGTTAACCTCATCTTAAATATTCAAAAACCATTTTATCCTCATATATTTGCACGTTCATTTCACCTTGGGTTCAACCAGCTCACAAACCAATAGTAGAAATTCAATAAGTGGAATAGTTATGTTCATCTTTGAGGTTTGCTATTTCTTCCTTTCTCACATGGTTATTTCGCATTTCTGATGGATTCTAAGTACCAACTTTGTCACCATAGTCAAAACTTGGAAACAACATCTACTAAAAAGAGGAAAAGTGATGATTGTACACCTGAAGCCTCTAAAAGGTACTCCCTCTAGTTCCCTAAAGGATGTCGTTTTGGACAATGACTAGGTCTCCAAAGCATAACTTTGACTATTATTTTTTATAGAAATATTTATTAAAATATGGCATATGTATATTTTTATAGAAATATTTTTCATGACAAATCTATTCCTATGGTTTTTACATTTCCAAACTCAACAATTCAAAAGTTGTTTATGATTTATATTCCCAATGTTTGACCTAAGCCTTGTCCAAGACGACTTTCTTTAGAAAACTAGAGGGAGTAATGGAAATAATTGCTGGAATCTCTCTATCATCACATTTTGCTTTGAAAACAATTATTTGACTATCATGACAGCCAAAGCTTGGAGGTTTCAAGTGAGAAAAAAGGAAACTATACGAACTCCAACTCTAGATGTTTAAAATTGTATGTTTTCTAATTCTGATTTTTTTCATTCATTCAATTTTTTCTCTTATCTAAAACCATTGTCAATGTATAACATTTTTAGGTCAAGAAGTGGGTCAAATCAACCCAAAGCACTTTCTATTGCTTCACACGAAGATCGGCCTGTTCAAGGTAAAAGGAAGCAAGACAGGACTTCTTAGCAGCCCTGCCATGAGCACGCGAAGCAAAAGAAGGCTCAGCCCCTTTAATTTGTAATATATGCATATTGAATTCGCTTGTTATATGTGAAACCAATGTATGTTTGAAATCGCACTTATGTGTGACCTTATTTACGTGAGACTGAACCTATGGTGGATTTGTGAACAATTTATGTGTCAACCTATGGGCAATTGCAATGCATTTGTGCAATTTTTATGCATTTGATAAGCTCATTTTATTGCAATATATTTGCGTACTTGATTATGTGTCTTATTAAGTATTGTTATGTGTGAACTAATTTGTGTAATATTACTCCAAATGTACACCAGAGAAATAAAACTCTACATTTTTTGCCAAGGGTAAAGGTAAAATAGTCATTTTACCCTTGACCGTCAAGTGTCAAAAACAAACGAAAGGTCATATAAGGAAGAGAATTTTGTTTTGGGACCATATAGGTAAGTTCAAAAAAACTATGGAAAGAAGAAAGCTATGTATGGGTTTATCCTAATATATATATAGGGAAAGTATATTCAGTACATAATACCTTATTATGTAGCTAGGCCATCCCAACCGTCAAGTGCGAGCCATTCACCGCATGCAGGCTCGTAAATGCAAGCCGAGCTGAGGCACCGTGTGCGTTTGGTTGATGGGAAAGAAAAAATCATAATTACTTCACATTAATTAGTGCATGCAGATTAGGGTGATTTTGGTGGTGTCCCACCATTTCAAATAGTCCGCTAGCTTGTGCATGTAGATGACACGGAGCGACGGCGGCGAGCGCCATCTGCCCCACGAGGCCACCTTCCCAGCAGAGCGGCGTCACGGCGGCAGAGGCGGCACGGCGTCCCGATGACGGAGGCAGCAAGGGCAAGGCGTCGCGACTCTTTCTCACGTCTCTGACCGACGGGCGCGGGAGTGGCTAGCAAGTGCAAGGAGGCGCGGGCAGTGTGCTGCGTACGACGCGGCGGCACAGGCATGGCTCCTCCACCGGCGGCACTCAGCCCCCTTCCTCGGCCATAGGAACTCAGTCACCTCGCCACGGTAGTGGCGTGCGGCACAGCGAGGGCAAGGCGGAGCGGTAAGGCTCTTCCTCATGAATCCGTCCGACGGGCACGGGCGGCGCGGGCAGCACGGCGGCACGGTTGCAGCTCCTCTATTTACAGCGCTCGGCCCTCTTCCCCGGCCAGCGGCGGCCCCATCCACTGGTCGGCGGCGGCGGCGGTGCACGACGAGCTACAGGGCACCGCCGCCAACCTTCTCTTTAGTTTGGATCTCGACCAGGTGAGTCACCTTCTTCTGGGAACTGGGATCCCCTCACGCTTCTCCTGCTTTACAAGTTATTAGAGCTGCACGATGGTTGACCTGTTGCGACGCTGCCACAAGATGGGGAGCTGCTGGTGTTGCGGCGTGGCTTGCTTATAATGCACCTAAATTTGGGATGCTGACATAATGCACTTAAATTTGGGATACTAACAGGCCATGCTACTTGTGTGTGTGCTTCAACCCATTACAATGTATCAATGCCAATACTCATGTGATACTCATCTTCGAAAATTTTGTATGATGTTTTGGGTTTAAACATTACGGCATCAATAAATTGGTAATTGTTGCCTTGCTTAAAGAAAATTCAGATTAGAGTTCATACAAATAAAATTCAGAAATAAGCAGATTTGGTGAGTTTGATGGTGAACCTGATGTCCAACTAGAAAAAAGCAATGTCATGTTAATGGGGCCTGCTTGCTCTGCTTTGGCTAATAGTTAGATCATGTAGTAGTTCATATGGTCACACATGGCATTGTGTCATCGGATTGAGGTTGTTGATTCAGGTGTTACATAGTACTCCACGGCGAAGAATAGGAGGATCTGTTTTTGCTAACAATTGTAGGTAAATAGTGATCTTTATATCATCAGGATAGAACTTCCTTTTCTTGTTGCTAGAACCTGCAAACATGAGCCGAACTCAGAACTGAATATGCAAACAAGTCTCTGAACTGATTATGTTGACAGCTTTAGGTTTCAGTCATCTCTAAATATACAGTCAGAAATCTGAAAAACAAATTGAATAACAAACTAAAAAACAAAGGAATGAAAAACAAATAGCTGGAAAAAAAAGACTAAACCTAAAGCTAACTGGACTACTCTAAAACCATATATATTTGCAGAGTACGGGTTTAAGTGAATCTCTTATGCCCTTATGTCCGTCGGACGATGAGATGTTTCCTTTTCAATTTAAGCGAAAGCAATTCCCTATACGGCTCAGCTTCACAATGACCGTTAACAAGTCGCAGGGGCAGACTATCCCTAACGTCGGGGAATACTTGCCGAAACCAGTGTTCTCACACTACCAATTACATGTGGCGCTATCAAGAACTACGGCAAGATCGAACATTAGGATCCTAGCCATGTCGGCTGCTGAGAAGGACGTGAACAAGGGGAAAGAGAAAGGGAATGGAAAGAAGAAAGCGACAAAGGATATATTCACAAAAAATATCATATATAAAGAGGTTCTAACTCCATACACGTTGATATATATTTTTTAGATATCAATGGTACTTTAACTTTAAAAATTAACAAATAACTTATACGCAAGATACTTCTAACTATAGATTCAGCCATCTGCATGCTTCAGCTACAAAAAGTCAGACGCCGCATCTTGGACTAGAAAATCTTCTGGATCATCATTGATTGGTGACCAACTATAGCTTGGTATTTATGCAAAGCACACGTTCTCTTAGTCGAACTATTGAGATATTAGATTCTTAATTGTAGAATAAATTGTAAAACATGTATTGTGAAATATAAACTTGTTATGATTATCTTTTCGTAGCACTTGATTCCTCAAGAAGTGCAAGCTTATCTTTCGCGTATCGTAGGCATGAAGTGATGCAACAATTGATGTTGATGTTTCAATTTTATATTCAAATTTAGAGTTATATTTTAACTATATATCTTTCGTGAAGACTTATGTAAAATTGATTGGAACATTATGATTACGGTATCTATTTTAGATAACAGTATAACACACGCTCATATATATATATATAGAACTACTACTCTATAACTGCCTACAAAATAACTTATTATGTAGGCACTTTGAGTTACGATAATTACTATGTTAATTTACGAGATTATAGTAACTCCATACTAAGTGGTTTACTGTAACGTTATGGTAAATATCTTCATGTGTTATAGTAACCCAACTATCGTAAATATGTATTGACATTATCATAAATTAGTATATAAAATTATCGTAAGTAGAGGTGGCTACGGAATAACTTATTTTGTAGCTGGTTATTGAATAAATTATTATATAAACAGTACTAAATTTTGTGGGTATAGATTTGGGTGTATATATATATATATATAATGAATAAAATTCAGTATTATTTAGTATTCGTGTTTCAGTATTATTCAGTATTTTGTGGTCCTGTGCATAGTATTGACTGATACTGAACACGGTTCAGTAGTACTCAGTATTTTTTCTGGTCAGTTTTGGCTTGACGTAGAATATTATATTCTACACCTAGGGTGTATATATATATATACACACACACTCCATTCTAAATTATATGTTAGTTTGACTTTTTTTTACATAAAAGCTACAATTTATGTGGCCTAGTTATATTTTTTAATGGACCAAACTTCTCTCAATCTCACTTGGGCCGAATTTGACTCAATGTGTGCTAAAACAAAAGTAATAAGAAAATAAAAAAGAAGAAAAAACGAATCGTGATTGAGAGAGGCTGTGGGCCACTTTGGGAGCCCGCTTGGAGGGGTGGGTGAAGGAGGTTTTACTCCGTCTATATTGGGCTAGGCAGAAGCAGAACGGATGATTGGCCAACAAAATCATCTCCTACTTAGGAAAATGGCAGCCCTCCAATAAATCTGACCTGGCACCACAGCACTTTGCAAAAACTAACACTGACCTGTGTTGATCCAGTTAAGTACTCGTATACATATTTATAAAACCCTTATTAAGCCCATCCCTCCACACTCACAAAGACACTTCGCTAGCTCCTCGCTGCCTCTTGTTCTTCTCTCCTTGGAGCCCCCCTCGGCTAGCTTCGAAAGCCGTACGTGCAGGAATTACCAAGAAGGAGGAACCAAGCATGTCGAAGCTTGTTGCAGCAGCAGTGCTCCCCTTGGTGGTCGCGCTGATCATGCTGTGCGCGTGCACGACGCCCGCGCGCGGCGGCGACGACTACACGGCGTTCGTGTACGCCGGGTGCTCGCAGGGGCGCTACGACCCCGGGTCGCAGTACGCCGTGGACGTGAACACCGTGCTGTCGTCCCTCGTGAATAGCGCAGGGTTCACCTCCTACGCCAACTACACCTCGCCGTCGTCGGCCGTATCGACGGGCCAGCTGGTGGCCGTGTACCAGTGCCGCTCCGACCTCCCCGCCGCGGTGTGCGGCGTCTGCGTGAAGTCGGCCGTGTCCAAGCTGTCCTCGCTGTGCAACACGGCGGCGGGCGCCGCGGTGCAGCTGCGCGCCTGCTTCGTGCGGTACGGGAACGACTCGTTCCTGGGGAAGCAGGACACGACGGTGCTGTTCAAGAAGTGCGGCGGCGAGAACGCCGGGGACACGGGCGTAGTGGCCATGCGCGACGCGGCGCTCGGCGCGCTTGTGGCCGCCGCGGCGCCCGCCGACGAGGGCTCGTCGTACCGCGCGGGTGCGGCCGGGTACGTGCAGGCCATGTCGCAGTGCGTCGGGGACCTCGGCGCCAAGGCCTGCACCGACTGCGTCTCCGCCGCGTCCTCGCAGCTCAAGGCCGGCTGCGGCTACGCCTCCGCCGGGGAGGTGTACCTCGGCAAGTGCTACGCGCGCTTCTGGTCCAATGCCGCCGCCGGCACCGGCACCGGCGGAGGAGTACCGGTCGTCGGAGGTGGCGCCGGTACCGGCGGCGGCAATGTCATCGGTGGCGCCGGCGGTGTGGGAGGAGCAGCAGGCAATGGATACGCATATGGCGGATTCGTGCCAAACACGTACGGACAGCACGGTATGTAAGCAGCTGCTCCTTGCCATCAATTTCCGTCGTCTTCTCGCTCCTACCATACACTTTTTGAACTGTTAATGTTTATGAGAATTCAACTACGTTTGATTGATCATCATCTATCCAGTATGTATTATGAATTTTGGATCCATGCATGAGCTGACAGGCAGTAGTAACAACATGATCTGCAAACCGTTAGCTTGGGTTCAGCTCTGATTTTAGCCCAAGGTTTGTGATGGTGAGAGTGTCTAGCTAGCCACTCCCCCCGTACCAAAATATTTATTGTTTTTGTTTCTCGAGAAATAACTTTAATAAAATATATACTAAAAATATTAATATTTATGGTATACAATTAGTATTATTGAAAAGATTTTTAAATCTAGTTTTTTAATAAATTTATTTAAAGATATAAATATTATACGTATTTTCTACAAATCGAATAAAAAATGATAGATAATTTGGGAATAGGTTGCTTTGGCCAATGGCCAGTCAGCCGATCCAAGGCTTCCTTGATGCATGATTGAATAGCGTGGATCCTTGCGGTTTCCACCGTTATCTCGTTCCGCGTACCATCGATCGGCACGCAAAACTCCGAAGGCTGGATGAAAAACGCAAGTGCGTCCCCCGCTGGTCCTGAATATTTGTTGGATCTTGCACATACCACAACTGGATCATCAAGTGCCTACCCACTAGCATAGCACCCCACAGCATATACTCGTACGATTCACTTTGTTAAAAATACTAGACATTTAATGAGAATAGATAGTTTTTTTCTTTGTTTTTTTTTTTGGTACACAACGTCGTCGGTGCACTCTTCCTTTAGTTCTTATTATTTTACGTCGTGTCATGATGGGGTGCACGAACTGCAAGGCTCAGCTCATCTGCACAAGATTTTAGGGCATGTTTGGTTCTAAATAAGTCACCTACTTATAAGTTAAAAAGTGAAAAAAAATGACTTATTTTGTCAAACACCACCGACTTATAAGTCACCCCTGCTTATAAGTTTTAAGTTGGTTCACCCCTCCTTAAAACTTATAAATCACCCTTTTTCGCGTGGGGTCTACACCTTTAATGAGCTTATAAGTTATCTACAACCAAACAGGCATGACTTATAAGTCACTGGTTTTCAGTCACCTAACTTAATAAGTCACCTGACTTGTGGAAACCAAACAGGCCCTTAGACGTTCTAGAATTCCAAAACAGTGTTGTTTAGTGTATTATTAGTACACTAGCATAGTTTGGCTGCTTTCTTTCTTCAGGTTTATTTTATTCACGAAATTGTGGAGGTTTCTTTTTTTTTTTAAATCCCTATTATATAGCATAGCGTAAATAACAGCCTTGTTTGGGTTTTACACAAGGTGTATATAAAATAGATACTAGAGAGTGTGCCACAAGTTTAGCATTCACAATCAACTGAAATTACACAGATACGTAACTTTTGATAAAGGAATAATAGAGTATGAATTTTAAGCAGTATTAGGGTATATGTTTACGAAGGTGATGCTATAACTGAATGGTCCAAAAACTTGAGTATTATCAGCTCCCTGCTACCATCTCTGCCAGCAGATTTGCTGAGATTGGGGGTTTCCATGTAGCATGTGCAAGCCTAGGTAGATAGATAGACTAGAAATTTGACATTGCTTACTGCATAAGTGTAGCCCTAGCTAGCCCCCGCATCTACCAGGGTGTGAATCATTACGACAACAGTCACCCGATAGAACGTTCTTGATCTACTTAACTCCAATTTTATATCATATTACTAATTAATAAAATCGTAATGTAAACAAACAATTAGGCATTATTTCAATTTAATTAATAGTAGAAAAGATGTCCTTAGACTGGCTAGGTTACTGCATTACAATGTGTACTGATTAGTGATGACACAGGAGTACCATTCAATCACTAATTTAACTTTTGGTGGTCCGCATGAATGTACACTGCATGCTTCGGTAGGTGTACAGTAGATGCAAATAAAACTGTGCATGATGTGTCCCCAAGTCCAAACTGCATGCAAAGGTATCTTTCAACCAAAGTAGACCAAAAGAACTTTTGTTTGCCTTTCACTTTCCTCTGCACTTTTAGCTAGGCTTTGAAATGGATTCACTCCCTCTCTCTTGTGTTGTTAACCATGCTCTGAGGCCCTGCACTGTATCACAAAGTGGTACCAAAATGATCCAGCTTTGCATCATTGGAATCTGAAGCACACCATAGGATATCTCTGGTATCCCACTGTCTCAGTAGTAGTGTACTACTGCACAGCCTTTTCTGCTTTTGGGGTAGCTTTAAACCCTTTACCACCATACTTTGCACAAAGCATCTACAGCTAGATGTATATAGGAGTAAATATTTCTAGCAGATTAGTTTGACTTTTAGTAGAAGTTTGCTGCTCTTAATTCAGTGCCATTGTTCATCATCAGATGAATCTGGGAAAACCCTCGCCATCATCATCGGCCTGGTGGCAGCGGTCGCCATCGTTATCGTCTTCCTCTCCTTCCTCCGTAGGGCCGGCGGTGTCGGCGGTAAGATTTACCTACACAAGCTTGAAGCTGCAAATTCTTAACTTGCATTACAATCTATTTCTCTTGTCCATGGCATTCATTCATTTGTAAGTATCTCTTTTACCTGAACTAATAGTGTTACCTGAACCACATATTTGCAGGCAAACGCTAAGAGCATGCAGGATGGTCACCTCTTGGTTCAGATTGGATCGGTCGGTGGCTTTGGCTTGAAAACCGCTTTACTCCATCTGTCTCCTTTTTATCTTTTAGGGTCTCTTTTGTCATGTCTTTATCTCTCGAGAAACAAAGGGAAGCCATGCTGAAATGGTGCAAGCTGAAAGGCGTTCCCTGTGCAGACATGCATGTGAAGTGAAGATTCCATCCGGTACCACCTACTCAGCTAGTGCTATAGGTAGCCACTGTGCAAGATATATTTTCAGCAAAAATAACAAATTATGTGGTATCTGCCCGTTATATATATACTTATATACAGTGTACTTATTATGGAGCATGATTCAGCATTATATTGTGCAAGTTTATGTGTCGAATTGGTGTCATCTCTTACGGTTGGTGATGTGAATTTATGTATATTATTGTTATTATTATCATATTTGTCGGTGCAGAAAGTGACCAACACGTAAATATTTGTAGTTTTGCTGTACGTTGTGATTGGAGATGGCCTAGCACTCAATGACACAGGGTTTATACTGGTTCAGGCAACGTGTCATACGTCTAGTTTGGGTTGGTCGGTGACTTTATTCCTGAGCCCAGATGCTCGAGGTTTGCTGTGGAGTTATAAACGGAAGGGAGAAAGATGGAGAGTACAAGAGGTCCGGTCGGACTCTGGTCTGAAGGGCCGAGAGTGACGGGAGCTCCGCTATGTGCTAAGTGTTCGAGCGTGTGAGTGTCTAAAGTTACAGAGGGTGAATCAATGTAAGTGAACTGAGGGATCTATCTGTTCAAAGAGAGTGCATCCCCTTTTATAGATGAAGGGGATGTCCTTACAAGTGAGAGGGAGAGAGTACGTATGCTACTAAGTCTTGTTGCCCACGGCGGCGAGTACAAGATGATGATAGGCGCCCACAATACTGTTTAATGTCGATGCATGTGGGAGGTTGCGTCGTTTTCTTCGGTATTGCTGTTCGCCATCTTGTTGATGCTCGAGAGGCATGTAGGAGGTTTTACCATGTTCGCTGGCGGTAAAATGGCGCCCATAACAGTGATCAGAGGCATGTGGGGGGAGACGTGTTTGTCTAGTATGGGAGTTGATGCGAGAGAAAATGTTAGCGCCTACAACTTTGCTTGAGAAGGTCGCAGTAATACCTATCCTGCAGTGGCTGTGGTACGGTCCTTGGTATTGCGGTTGACTTGAGTGCCCTGCCTTACTTTCTCCATCCGTTTCCTGGTCCTTACCGAGCGGGCGTCCCCGGTCGGTTGGTCCCAGTCGGCTCTGATTGCTCCAGTTGGAGAAGAGCTGTGAGCAAGGGTTCAACGCATCCCCGGTCGGGACGCGGGTCGAAGTCGAAAGTGGTGTTTGGCCAGGCCTTCCGGTCGGAAAGGCCGTCCGGAGGCGGGCCGGAGTCGGAAGCGGGGCCTTCCGGTCGGAGAGGCGGGTCGAGTTGAAGGGAAATTTCCTCCTCGGCCAGCCTTCCTTGGATCGCCTTCGGTCGTCTGGTCTTTTAGGTATTTGGGCCAGCCCATGAGTTGGCGTCGTTCGCAACGTCGTCTGCTGGTCCGAGCCTTTATTGGGAAGTCGATCCATGAGGGACCCCGAGTTTATGAACCCGACAATATCTCTTTAAGGTAATTGGCTACAAAAACTGCATCTTGGAATAATGGCATATCATATAGTGATGAATATATGGCGGTTGACGGGCTGGATCATTTTCAGCTTTAGTGACAACGACAATGGTTGACATCATGAGGAGTTTGTACGAAAATGGATGCGCTTGTCTTAGTGCTCTGCCTAGTGCTGTTAAATCATTGCTAATGAGTGTGGGTAGGGCTTGAAAGTTCATTAGCGGATGGTGGGTAGCGTTGTTTCCAAATAATATATAGCGTGTTTATTATACAAGCCATGGATTTACATCGATCTAATTAATTTCTGAAGTAATTTCATCGGTGATCCTTAATTAAACTTGTCATGAGTTCAGGTCCCAGTGCTCTTAAAATGTATTTTAGTACCATAAAATGCAGTTTTTGACACTCTAAACTTGCTAATTGTATCCATATAATATCCAAATATTCAAAACTTGCGTTAAGATATGGTCTTGAGATGTGAGCTTGACAACTCCATCTTTCTCTCTTTGGCCTCGCTCGCTGCATGGCAGCTACTGCTTTGGCTGCAAAAATGAACTAAACTCTACTGTAGGCAGAACTGGAAACAGCTGCAGCCACAGCCCAATAATCACAGCTGATCAGGTTTTTTATTTAAAATCATTTAGAGCTCCAAATATTCATTTTTAGTTCCTAGATTTTGTGATTCAAAATTTGGAATTTTCAATCGACCTCGAGCGTTGACATGGCTTACACCAAAGTTGTAGTTTTCGACGTGATCTACAGCTTTGTAGTTCAAAAGTCTTTTATTTAAATTATTTAGTCTCAACTATTAATTTTAAAATTTTAGATTTTGAAATTCAAATAATTGAATTTTTCAAACGACCACAAATGGAGACAAGCCCTATACCAAAGTTGTATATCTCGACCAGACCTAAAACTTTGTATTTGGGATTTTTTTTATTTGAGACCATTTAGGGGCACATTCAATAAAAGATTTGTAAAAATTAATAGAAAAGAATAGCTTCATATACTTTGTCATAAGCAACCGTGTGCTGTGGTGGTAAGGGAGAGCTCACGTGAGGCTTTAGGTCAAGGGTTCTAATTCTACAAAGCATGTGTATGTATTTCTCGCGAAAAAACACGCAACTCAGGGACACGATGCTTGTCTCAGGATTAGGAAAATATACTTATATTTTTTATGGCTGTTTTTGTGTTTTCATTTATACGTCTTGTTTAGTTCCACATCAACTTTATAGAGTCGAATGATCTGGAGCATTAAATGTGAGAAAAAAGAAAAACCAGTTTGGTGGAAAATTTGATTTAACGTTTTGAGCCTAATTAGTCCATGTTTGAACACTATTTGCCAAATAAAAACGAATATGCTACAATAGCCCCAAAATTCAAATTTCGCGAACTAAACCAGGGCATAGAGTCGGATCTCTAAAGCCTGTTGCGTCACAGCCTCGGGAAATGGCCTATTAGCATAAACCATTTGCTAGAGGTGGTTGGCCCTTGCTACCTTTGTAAATCCAAAACATCCGCCTTCGTAAATCAAGTTTGCAATAGTGATTTTAAATCTAACGTGTACTACGTTTTTCTATGTGTTCATATCTCTATAACACATAAAAGTTTACAGCCTAGGTTAATTCAGTCTTAACAAGTACGCAAAGCAATTATAGGAAAGGTAAACACATAAACTAAATTGCAAGAAAGTAATGTGTATTGCAATGTTGGGGGCTTTGAGCCCTGTCCACGCCACCGCTAGATCTGCCCCTTTTTTTATGCGCATAATCTACATAACATGGGGGTCTACAAATCTTGCTTAACGCTAGGTTAACACCTTAAAATGTCCTAATAAGCCTAAAGTAGCACTAAGCAAGTCCAAATTGTTGTGACATTTCCTTACTCTTCTCAACTTTCGAAAGGTGAGCCCTCAAATATGTTTTTCTTAAGGCCTCCTTGGTTCATAGGAAAAATGGAGGAAAAACAAAGGGTTCAAAATCCTATAGGAGAGTACTGTTCATGTCTTTGGTTCACATGAATGGAGCATAGGAATAGTGTAGAAATTTTTCCTTTGAATGTTGTTTTAGAGGAAAACTACCGGAACTTTAGCATCCACTCAAACCTTTTTGTAGAAATCCAACGTTTTTCCTATGGTCCATCCAAATGATCATTCCTTTCAAATTATTGTGTTTTTCAATCCTCTATTTTGCAACTGCATCCCTGTGCAATTCCCTTGTTTTTTCTATTTATGTGTGTTTTTGCTTTCCTGGGTTCCAAAGTTTCAACCACACATGGAAATGGTTAGGTAAGGCCGAAAGGGGTATTGATAGCCCCAAGTGCTCCCGTTGCTACCTCAGGAACTGAAAATGCATTAACCAAATGTTTTGGTGTTAACTTTAACCCTTTATTGGAACATTTCGTAAGAGCTACAAGACTAGTCGTTGGCCCCTGCCATATCACTCAATGATCCATTGATCATCTTGACGAGCACCGTAGCTTCGAGTGCGCTCTTCACAGTTCTATCTAGTAGTTTAGGGCCATGGTTTGATTCGCGATCACAATTTGTTATGCCACAGTTTTTTCACTGTTACAACCATGACATGTCACACTTTCTTAGCACCATATCCCACACATTATAGACTCACTTTCGTGCCAAGTTTTATACAAGTGTATGTGGCTTCGACTCACCACACTTTCTATGGCAGACATAGTTTGTTAAAGGTTAAGCATGACAAACTACGGCACCAACCAAACAAGCTATCTTCAATAATTTGTGTAGTTCTCTAGTGCACCACTGGACCTATTTTAGAACGTGAGAATTTTTCCCTATTATGTTTCTTTTGTGAAAATGAACCGATTCTTGTGAAATTCCTGTATAATAATTCATGTGAAATTTCTGTGTTCCAAACAAGCCTAGGAACCACGATATTTTGAGCTAAGGTAGAGTAGGTATATTTCAATACCAGACGCGTAGCTAAAGGGCGTGGCCCACCCTAATGCTTTGTATTAAGATATAAGAGTAGGTATTTTCATAGAAAGCTATTTTAAGTAAATTTTAGACATTATTGTTTATTTTAAAGATACTCATAAGAATTTTTTATGTATTTCTATTGCATTTTATTCAAATCTATATTTATATGTTGGCATATATTATATTTCTTCTGTAAAAAAGGATTATGTTAAGTAATGCTATTCTAGTTTAAAATCCATGGCCACGCTGTGTATCAGCTCGTTTAAAGCTGTTGATCGCCTTCCATGACACCGGTACCTGCGTTGCAATGCTTCAGTAACTTTTTGTGAATCATATCCATATTCGCACCTGGATTTTTGGTACTGTAAACGCTTGTGACGAACAACTATGCTTAGGGCCAGTTGGTTTCTATTCCTGCC